CCTGAAAGTATCTGGTGTGAATAAGCCCTAAAAAAGTCCCATTGTAAAATGGTTTGTATTATGTAAAACAAAACTTATGTATGTGGAAAGTTTTACATTTGTTTGTTTCAGCTTAAATAGGGCAAATACGGTACACTATACAATGTGATGAATAATATTTTATATTTTAGATGCAATAATCGGACGCAGTGTGCAGTCGTAGCTGGACCAGATGTGTTTCCTGACCCATGCCCTGGGACTTACAAATATCTAGAAGTCCAATATGAATGTGTTCCTTACAGTATGTATAGTTTTTTAATTTTTACCTACTAGTAATGATTTAGCCTATAATTGTGATTTAAATGTATGTATTTTTCTTACCTTGTACACATTTCCCACAATTATGTATTGTATTTCTAAACAAAATTTTATTATGCTACTTGCAGAGAAGTGTTTGAAAACCCAAAAAAGTACCATGTCAAAACTTTTTTTTTTTCTGTAAATGAAGGGTTTATGGTGGTTTAGATGCACAGCCCTCTTTCTATTCAAACATAGCTTGTCACTGTTTGTAAGGCTTGTGTATATTCTCAGTCTCAGGTTGGGTCTCCTCTTTATTCAGAAACCTTACCTAAGGTTGATTTTTCCAAGCCTTCAATTAATCAGTATAATATTCTTCACAAAATAACACATTCCAATCTCTTCAGCTGCTAATAGGTTTTACTGGGATTGAATCATGAACTTAATGGAGTGATTTGCTTGCAATCTGTGGTCCATTCCCACTAGGGGAAGATTAGCTAACCAGAAATTAGTTTTGCAGCAGGGGCTAGGCAGTGGCTGTGGCCATGGAGGAGTCAAAGTGTACTGTGTATAGTGTTAGCGAAGCAGGGTACCCATTGGCACCAGAGGGCAAACCTAGTGTCCTGCCCATACATCAACAGTGAGGGGCCAATGCACATAATCTAAGGAGCTGCCTTGTCTTCACCAGAGCCCCTGAAGGTGGAGATGGGTTTGGCTGTAATCTACACCCAGATTGTGGCCATCTGACTCACCTGAGCAGGTATCAACTGGGAACTGAAAGCGACTATACAGAGAAGAATCTATGCAGTGCTGAGGCTCTGGGATCACAAGTATGTAGGGTACACAGTCCACACTGAAAGAAATGTGCACAGGAACAATACAAAAGCACAGATGAGGAACACACGCTAGGAGTGCACAAGTGCGAACAATGAGAGGCTGGGTGGAACACACAGGGAATCACACTGGTGTAGAAGAATAGGTAGTTGATTGGATACACAGGTATACATGTGATGAACAGAGACTGGTTGCTGGTGTCAGTGCACAGTCACTGCAGCAGGATGCAGATTGGGGAACACAAGTATCATTGGAACAGGTTGAAGTGCACAGAAATCACAAGGTTGGATGCAGACTGGAGTAGAGGAAGAGAGATACAGTAAATGGCGCTGGAGAATGTTGGGGCCACAGAGGCAAAGCAAGGAGATGCTGGTTCATAGGAGAGCTCACTAGAAATGCAGGGAGGTCCAGTTGCTAATGTGTGCATGTGTTGCTTGAACCCCAAACAACCTTCATGCTTTCCTTTTAAGATGGTGCCCCTTCCGTGATTAGCAGGGACACCAAAGGAAGCAGGAATCTGGTGGACGTACATAGAGGGAAAGACCTAACACTGGAGCAGGGAACACATTTATGCCATTACCCCCCTTCTATAGGGCCTCCTCACTCTCTTGTGATCAATTTTTTAAAGGGAAACCTCAAAGGCTATGACCCAATACCTTTCTTCAGAAACAAAGCCCTTCCAGTCTATTAGTTGATGGAGTTCCCCACAGGAAAACTTGAAATCCGGCATGTGGTGAACCTCTTATTCTTGGGATGGTTTAGTAAGAGGAGTAACCAATGAAGTAGAGATGTGAAAAAAATCTATTTAAAAACCAGCGAATTAAAGGCAAACCTTTTTTATTTTCTTTTTGGATAGAGAAACCCCTGTCAGTTTTTTGTTTTTTTTTTTGCCATCTGTGTCCCATTGAAGAGATTTCCCTTTGCTTCCTGTCCTATAGCCAAAACAGAAAGTGAGAGGAAATCCTTCCAAAGAAAGGGAATCTCTAGGTGTCATGAGGGTCAACAGAACAAGTGTACCCATTGGAAGACTTCCCCCTATTCCTGTTCTGATGTCAACTCCAAAATTTAAAATTTTTTACCTTTCAGAAGAGCATATTTCTGACCAGCCTGAATCCTGTACAGACTAATAAAAGAAGTCCTCAATAATTTTCTATTATCCCCAGATATTCCATATCAGTAGTTAGTTAACTATGTTGGTTACTTTGGATGATGTAATTTCAGGATTGCTGATGCCACCTTTTGTTTCTGGGGAAGTGAGAAAAAGTTTGGTGTGTCAGAAGACTTTAGGCTTATGAGGTACACCCTAAAAAAAAACTTACAGAATATGTAAACCCAACACTTCATATTTCTGATATATGCCTACTGAACAAGTACTTGTATGAAAATGTATCCTATTCTCTTTGTATTGCTACCTTTTTATGAAATCCCTGGTGATCCTTCAAGTCTCTCTGCTTTCCTGTTAATAACTGACCATACTAAGTAGGAGAACACAGTGTGGTTAGTTTCCTGGCTGTGCTGGAACGATCCAATGATCAGACTTGTGCTGACACCACCTCCCTGCACATCCTTTCACTGGGAAGATCAGTATGTTGCTGTTTCTTCTACCCTAGCTTTTCATGCAGCTGATTAGAGGGTATGTGATCACTTCTAAAAAGGGGGAAATGTATTTATAATGTTTTTATATGTATAATTAAATGTTCTATCTTTCTATTTTAAACTGAATGGGTTGTTTTACAAGGTGAGGGTTTACATGTGGAGTACTTTAATTTATATTCCTACACCCTGGTACTCTTTTCCTGCAGCATAAATATTGCTGCTAATATCTAAGCAATCCAGCGGGCATTTTAATAGCTAGGTCCCTCTCCTGCTTTTGTGTGCTCATATACAAAAAGAAAATAATGCCTAACATTCCCATGATCTTCATGATCTAAATAAAGTTTATAATATGCATTTAATATTGATGGTGATAATTTACTCCGCATAGGATTCATAATATACCGTCTTTTTTTGGCAGCTTTGCTCTAGACTGCTGCTAAACGTTTTTTCTTTTGTATGCTCATACCTGCAAATGGCATTTATAGACATCATCAAATTAAATACATTGTATCAATATAATTGTTCGAATGTATTTACACTAGTTATTTGAGATACAGATCAAAGGAATTTATTTTCGTCAGTGCATAATATCAATACTATCTTCTTTAAACTACTAAATATCACCTGCCTATGTAATGGGAAATGAGGGGAGCATTGGGGAGGGGGGGGGTTAGCTCGTAGTTGAAACTGTGACAAAGGAAAGTGAGCATAAGAAAATATTGCCTAAACACAAGAGCCATGTATATTCTGACTTGAATCTTGTTGTGCTTTGTGCATTTCTTACATAACTGTCCAGATTTGTCATTGTGTAGAAGCTTTCTGTAATAAAGACCAGTCACTGCTGTTCTCTATCCTTGCACTGGTCCTGTATCCACCCCCACCTCTGGTTTTCTGCAGCCAGTCTTTAATGGCTGAGCTGCTGCATTCCTTCCACAGTTCTGTTCTCTGCACAGGCAGAGTGATGATATCACAGCCTTATTTACAAGGTAATAACTGAGTTTGCAAAGGCATTTAGTGCACACAAAATAGATTTATATCCTTTGTAGTTATTGATGAATATATTTCAGAGAGTTTTTGTGCCTACGGCTTTAATTCAGTCAAGAATGGGATTCAAAAGCCTTTAGTAGGTCTGATGATAAAATTTTGGGGTGAGCGGTAGAAAACCGCAGATCTTTAAAAAAAAACAACAACTTTACATCACTGTAAGTACTTACGCACACTGGATGTTTTCTCAGCTGCTATTTTTGGCTTTTGATGTTTTTTTCTACAGCCATTAAACTACCCAGCATGTTATCCTATGTGTCCATGTACACATAGACTGTAATCAACATTTTTTGGCTGGAAAAAAAAACCCAGAATTAGTGGGTTTCTAGAGGATTTTTTAGCTTTAAAAACGCTCTAACCCTGAAAAACGCCGCAAAATGCGGTAAATTGCAGCAAACCAGCATTTTTGGACTTTTTTTGACCAAAAAAATAATTTTTTTGTTCAAAAAAAGACTAAAAAATGCAAACGCAAAAAAAACGCCACTAAACACTAATACAAAAATGCTAAAAACCTCACGTTTTTAATGTGACTTTCCACAGCCAACGTTACCAGCATTCTTAAAACACCCAGTGTGCATGGAGCCTTAGTCAGTTTTGGATACCTTGAGCCTGCATTTACATTTTGAATTTTGTAACCATGTGCAAAATTGCTGTGTGGTTGATTTACTAATGCAGGCCATAGATTCGGAGAAAAACGGCAGATTTTTCTTTTAAAAAACGAAAATTCGGTCGTTCAAGCGGCCAACGTTACCATCAATGGTAAAAAAAATCGGCTGATTTTCATCCCTTCTACAGCCGGCAAAAAGTGTCCCTGCAGAGAGCTCCGCTATTTCTGACAGTTCTCTGACAGTTCCTTCACATTTACAGCGGTTGAAACATTGTATCTATTTGTTTCCATTTAGGATATGTTTTTATTCGGAAACAAATAGATACATTGTTGCAACCGCTGTAAATGTCAAAGAACTGTCAGAGAACTGTCAGAAATAGCGGAGCTCTCTGCAGAGACACTTTTTGCTGGACTGGAATTCTTCTTATTTTCATTCTTCTTCCTCATCCTCATCTTCTTCTTCATCATCATCCTCATCCTCTTCTCCTCTCCTCTCTTCTTCTCATCTCTCATTCATCCTCATCTTTCTTCTTCATCATCATCTCTTCTTCTTCTTCTTCTTCTTCCTCATCCTCTCTTCTTCTTCATCCTCATCCTCTTCTTCTTCTCATCCTCATCCTCTTCTTTCTTCATCCTCATCCTCTTTTCTTCTTCTTCTCATCCTCTTCTTCTTCTTCTTCTTCTTCTTCTTCTTCATCCTCATCCTCTTCTTCTTCTTCATCCTCATCCTCTTCTTCTTCTTCATCCTCGTCCTCTTCTTCTTCTTCATCCTCATCCTCTTCTTCTTCTTCTTCATCCTCATCCTCCTCTTCTTCTTCCTCATCCACTTCTTCTTCTTCATCCCCTCCTCTTCTTCTTCTTCTTCCTCATCCTCTTCTTCTTCCTCATCCACTTCTTCATCTCTTCTCCTCTTCTTCTTCTTCTTCTTCTTCTTCATCCTCATCCTCTTCTTTTCTTCATCCTCATCCTCTTCTTCTTCTTCCTCATCCTCATCCTCTTCTTCTTCTTCCTCATTCTCTTCTTCTTCTTCTTCATCCTCATCCTCTTCTTCTTCTTCCTCATCCATCCTCCTTCTTCATCCTCTTCCACTTCTTCTTCCTCATCATCCTCTTCTTCTTCTTCATCCTCATCCTCTTCTTCTTCTTCCTCTTCCTCATCCTCTTCTTCTTCTTCATCCTCTTCTTCTTCCTCTTCTTCTTCTTCTTCATCCTCTTCTTCATCCTCTTCCTCTTCTTCTTTTTCTTCTTTTTGTCTTCCTCTTGCAGGTCACTGCTCATGCGCAGATTTTTTATCGGCAAAAAATCGGCCCACTAATTGCCGCGAAAATCGGCCGATCGGCAAAATCGGCCGATTTTTTTCCAACTTTACAGAAAAAAAAAATGGCCAAAATACCGAAAAACGGCCGACCAAATAGCCCACTAACGATCCGAAAATCGGCCGATTTTATTTTCGGCCGAAAAATCGGCCGATTTTCGACCCATCTATGGCCTGCATAAAACTGGAGAGTGCAAGATCTGGTGCAGCTGTGCATGGTAGCCAATCAGATTCTAACTTCAGCTTGTTTAATTAGGCTCCATGCACACTGGGCATTTTAATAACACTGGTAACGTTAGCTGTGTGAAGTCACGTTAAAAATGTGAGTTTGTCAGCGTTTTTGCATTAGCGTTTAGCCGCGTTTTTTGCATTTGCATTTTTTAGCATTTTTTTACCAAAAAAAAGTTTTGGTTTTTTTTTTTTGCTCAAAAAAAGTCCAAAAATGTTGGTTTCCTGTGATTTACCATGTTTTGCCACATTTTTGAGCATTAGAGCGTTTTTTCAGCTAAAAAACTCCTCTACAAACCCACTAGTTCTGTTTTTTTTTTCCAGCCAAATACACCCCTGCCATAAACCGCTGATTACAGTCTATGTGTGCATGGACACATAGGATAACATGCTGGGGACTTTACTGGCTATATAAAAAAAGTCAAAAAACAAAAACAGCAGATGTAAAAACGTCCAGTGTGTATGAGTGTAGCAATTGTGCGCACAAATATGGACGCGGACGTCCATGTTGCTAAAGATCCCCCATCTTGTGCCATTCTCACTCCAAAATCAGCCCCCCTCCCTTTCTGTTGAGTGACATGTGGTCTGTGTGTGTGCTGAGTTCAGGAGAGCACAGGGCACAGCTGGATACCCTTGATGATTGTAAACCCAATTAGCTGATGCCAGGGTGTCTGTCCCACTCTTGATCTGAAGCTCATCGTAAAACTATAAACCCGTCAGTCACTGGACTTCAAAAGCATTCCGGGATAGCAGTAAAACATATATCCCATGTGAAAACACTTTTTCATACAATTTTGTAATTTCTCGTAGGTAATACATACAATGAAACAAGACATATATTCAGAGAGGTTATTTTAATACAAGTCACCTGATACCTTACACCCCTAGATTACATCTACCCCAGAGCAGAAAGCGATATCTCCTTAACCGTCACAGCCAGGTATGTCATATGTGATGTCTGGATGTTCAGAATATCATTCTGCATATTATCCTGCCAGTGGATAGGATGCTACCTGTACCATGATATAAACTGCGAGGGATTTGGTCATAGCCTGAGTTCCCCACTTAAACACCCCTCCCCAAATGAGGCGATTGGTTCTCTGCTTTAAGGAGACACCCTGCTGGTGGACTAGAAAATAGGCTGTCAGGCCTGAGAGAGATTAGATGAAGAGATCTCCCTTTTAACATCAGGAACCAACTTTGGGAGAAAAGGCACCCTTATGTTCGGACACTTGAACGCTGCTTAAACCAGGATTTCTGCAAGTATTCTACCTTCTTAAAGTTCTTTCTTTATCTCCCTGTTGTGTTATTGCTCTCTGTATTTATTTATATATATTGGCTACATCTTTTTCTGTAAATATTTTTATTGCACCATTTTGACCTTTTTAGTAATAAATCCTATTTTCTGAAAAGTGTTGAACGGTTAAAGCTCTTTAATGCAAACTAAGAATCACTGTCTCTGAAGAGTGCTACTGTGCATTTGAAACTTCTGCATACATCTGCCTGCGGTGACAGTGTGTATACAGACGCTTATTCAAACATCATAGCATTACTGCTAAGATTGGCGAGTTTCCTCCTTCTCTGTACAAAAAGGCGGCGGTGGCAGTGTGAAGGGTTAATTGAGTAATTAACCTGACCCAGTAACAATCGCTCCCAGGCTGCTTGCACACAGATTGTGGTCCAGTGAGCTAGAAAATCTTTGTGCAGGTTGCAGCTGAGTGTGGCATTGTTATGCACGTGACAGCGCGGTTTTAGATTGGCTATTCCTTCGGTCATGAGTTGGTGAGAAGGGCTGGGGATCTGAGGACTAAGGCTTTATCGAGAAAAAACCTGGACACGGATTGGTTTCTATGCAGAGCTACAGATTTTGTACTCTTCAGTTTTAGTTTCAACCCTACCATGTATTTGTGCACATTTTTGTGCCCTATGTGCATCAAACACAGCAAATTGGCTTATTTACCTTTTTTTGACAGATGAGTTTTGTTTATTTTTTATTTATTACAGGTACTTATATAGCGCTGTGTCAACTTACTCAGCTCTTTACGTATATATATTGTACATTCACATCAGTCCCTAACCCTCAAGTAGTGTACAAGCTAAGGTCCCTAACTCACATTCATATATACACATACTAGGGCCAATTTATACAGAAGCCAATTAACCTGCCAGCATGTCTTTGGAGTGCGGGAGGAAACTGAGTACCTGGAGGAAACCCACACAGGCAAAGGGAGAAACATGCAAACTCTAGGCAAGTGGTGCCATGTTGGGATTCAAACCAACTATTCTAGTGCTACCAGGTGGAAGTGCTAACCATGTAGCCATTGTGTTTTTATTTGCGTGTTTTGCCTCACTTTTTTCAGTGCAACAAACATGTTTCTTTTATTTGTTTTTTTAATTTGCCATTTACACCCTGGTCATATCAAACCGAATTTTGAAATCGTGAGACTTACAGTGAAGTCAAACGATTTCAAAATCGGGTGACCTGCCGATTTCCTTGCGATTTGCAAGCCATCTGACAGATGTCTATGCAAATTACAGCAAAAGTAGTGCATGCACTACTTTTGAAATCGGTGCGGCTCCGACCAAGTCGGAACCGTACCGATATGACCGTTCTGATAGGGTGCAGACAATAGGGTGCGACTTGGCGTACTATTTGCAAATTGCATGCCAAATCGCACCCAATGTGACCAGGGGCTTAAGGTGCCATTCACAATGAACATCTGATTCATTGATCCCAATTAGGGATTTGGGTTTTTTTTTGTTTATATCATTTTGTTATTTTTCACTACATTGGGTCCAGTTGGGACCAATTTGTTATTTCACGTTTCTGTGTCACGTGTACGTGTGTCACAATAGATCCCTAGAGGTTCAGATCACTTTGGATACATCACTATATTTGTTATTTAAATATCTTATTATTTTATATGCATTTTGTATGTATGTTTGTTTATTCATATGGGTTGTATGGATTAGCGCTACCCCAATTTATTTATTTATTTATGCATTAACACCTATAGGTTTAGGATTGGGTTTTAGCAGCTTATATTAGGTATATATCACTATTATTATTTAGAAGCGCCGGAGGATCACATTATCATGTATGTATGATTGATAGGTTATGAAAAAAGAAACAAAAGTATATTTTTTGTGGTAGATAATGCACTGTTTTCTGTTCAGCTAGGTTCAGTTCTTTCATTTGATCCTAAGATAGTCCTAATGAAGCTATATATGAGAAATGCATTGACCTTGTATATCTAAAATTGTATGACCTTGTATATTTAAAATAATATAAGTTATGTAAACTGTATATATTGCAATTGTTTATTGGAAATTGCGCGCTCAAATTTCTTTTAAATTTGTGTTTTTTTGTTTTTTTTAAAGTAAAAATACATGAAATACAAGTTTTATGAACTGTTAGTGTCATCTTATGTGTGCCAGTAAAGTCTGTAGTTTTTTTTTTTTTTCTTGTTTTCCTTTTAGATTAGGATAATAGAATGTGGTGCTGGGGTGGTAGTTTCTTTATATGATAAAGTAATAAAAACCCCACAGATGTTCTAATCATTTTCCAATCTATTGAAAACTAAATAAGTATTGCCTTTAGTTATACTTTTAAGTGCTAGTATCTTCTGGCACAAAATGTGCTGGTCTTCAAAGCAGAATACAGAATAGTGGTGAGCATGCAACAGTTTACATAAGAGAGGGTAACGATCCATGTAACCATTTTGTCAGACCTTCTTTCTGTGACGTTCAGCTTGATTCCCCACTGCAGAAATTTTGAGGCATTTATGCTGCTTATCTGTAAATTCCATTCTGAGTAAATTGAAGACTAGTCACATCTTAGCATAAAGAGAGGGAAAGCTGTTGCCAGCCTTTTTCAGGGACAAGCTGAAAAGTGATATATTTCACAATACTGATGTATAAAGCTACACATGTATATAGAAACTAGAAATTAAAGCAGTATTGAAGAATCACTAAACCCACAACAGTAAAATCAGTCTGTATATGCAGTAAAGCTTGCTTGTTGTACTCACTGTGGAAGGGGGTAATCCTCCGCATTGTGTAAAAAGGCTGTTCGATCCAGTCTTCTCTAATCCTCCCCTTGTTCCACAGTCCTTATTCATCTACTGATTGCACAGAGCTCTAGGAGGCACTGCACATGCTCAGTTTAGTGTGTATTTCTGTATTGCTAGAGAGTGCATGTGACCAGTACAGGGCCAATCAGCACTGTCCAGGCAGAGGGTCAATCAGCACTGTCCAGGCAGCCTCATAGGATAGTCAGAGGAGAATGAAAAGTCCTCCTACAAGCTTTAACCAGTGCTTGGCCGGACACTGATGGAATTCACAAGACTTCTATATACTGCTGATGAGAAAAGGTATTTAGCAGTTTATATTTACTAAAATAATTGCATTTATATATTCTGTGTACTGGGTGGAAGATCGGATATAATGAATGCAGAGTCCTGGGTTTAGTAATACTTTAAACCCAAAAGCAAACATTTGTTATATTGCAGCTTTCTAATTCTTGGATGTGATGGCTGTATTAGGTTCCTTTTTTAGACTTTTTCTTTTTTTTTTTTTTTTTTTCATCATATGGTGATCCAGCCAATACGTTTTTTTTTTTTAACAGAAAAACTCTCTTGCAGGTACAAGGTTGAGGCAAACCAGGGGTGACTTACAATTATCAGCTTTTCTCTATTTATGTAAAATCTTTATCCCAAAAGAAAAAAAAATGTTTTGCTGTAACTGCTTATTAAGTATTCGCTGGAGTTCAGCTTCAATTTGTTAGTGTATCTAAATCTGATAGTACAGCTAACACTCCCCTCCCCCCAGACTGACAATGCTGCTGTCCAAATTTGCCCCCTTGTACGTATTCATCCAGAGCGATGTCTGTATAAATACAGGGGTGTTACTGGCCAGATCACCAGGGGAAAACAGAAGGAAAAAGCCAAATAAA